AGCACGATCGAAAGGCGCGTCACAAAGTAATGCTTGCAAAGAGGCAAGATCCGCAGCTGCCGATCCCGTCTCAGCAAAGCCATATAATATGCAGTTTTTTTCCCGCCTTCTAATTTCCGTGCATTCAGCAATTATGGCATCCTCCATATCGCTTGGCATGCTTGAGGCGTTTGACTCCAGCTGTGATATTCTCTGCTCATGCTGGTCAATCAATCCAGCATTATCCTGAATCGCGGAATGCAAATCATCAATCTGCTTCGTCAGCGCTACACAAGTATTGTTTATTTCTTGCTGCAACCCCGTTATCTGTTCATTAATAGACGAGAACTTTTCGTTGAGGGAGCTTGTTATTTGCTCAACAATCTGGGACTTTATATCTACTATAAAGCCCTTCATCTCATCCCACGACGATATTGGTGCCCGCTGTGGAGAAGCAAGAGTCTGCATGGACTGGCATACCGGCATATTATCCTTCGATTGGCTAAGGGAACAATTTGCTAAGCCGATATGTGATAATCGCCCTTCACCACCAGTAATGTTAGGCGAATTAAGGGACTTATAGGGATTAGGCAACACATCATCGCCATCCACGGAAATCTCCAACTCCGTTCCAAGCAGAGATCCCGTCCCGGGTCGCTCGATGTCCTTTCTTCCGCAACATTTCTTGAATGCGCCGTTTGACAACTTGACCGCTTTTCCAGCACAGCTGCGATGAAAGTATGATTTACAGCCCGGGCACTGCACTGCATCAGCCAGATTGATGAAACCCTTATTCGGGCAAGAGAAACATCGATGCTCGATCACAGGATTCTGAGGAGGAGCCATCCTTAACAAGGACTATTTAGAGTCACAATGCGAAAAAACTTAACAATTAATAATTATAAACAAAAACTGTAAAATTATTTAATTAGTAACAACTATAAACCGTTATGTTCACGATCGAACAATCACCAACAAAATAGGCTAAATTGAGCGAGGCTTAACTGCTAACCACAATTAATAACACGTCTTACTCTGACAGTAGCTGAGACACAACTTCATTCATTCATATACTCTCTTTAAAACTTTTACTAATGTCTCTCTCTTGTATATCCTTATCCTACTATTATTTTCTTATACATGGACATAATCTTACAGGACATAATCATGTCAACGCCCAATAGGATGAACGCCTTAACGAAAGGGGTCACAGTAGCACCCTACCATCAAGAAGAAAACACCTTGGTGATTACTTTCCCTTGGACTACCGCGGAATCTGATGTAGTCCAAAACCTCCTAACTTATAGACCTATCGAACAACTGCATCAATTAGAGTCTCGACTGGATGGACACAAGTCCCTCCGTATACGCTACTGCGCCCACGCGGACTATCATTCGGCCTTAAACAACTACCTGAATGATAGTATCCAGTCCTTAAATCCCAACTCTCCCAGAGTTGTGATCAGAGAACACGAATTTGGACATCGGGTATTCCTCCGAATCCCGATGTACTGTTCGCGGGAACAAGTATTTAAGGACTTGGCACTCTGTGGGACTCTGGACTATATGTATTTCACGCCTATCACGACATATGGTTCGCACTTCCATTTGACCTGCAGTGTGCGATTTGTGTCCAAGGGTTCTGCTGCTGAGGCTGTCCGACTATACCATAGGGTATATGGAGCCAAATTCAACGAACTGGAAAGGATTGTCCCCCTGTCCCTGCACAACAAGAATCAGTACATCTTTCATGCACAATGCAAAAGCATTGTCATGAAGAGGGATTTCGAAGCCCATAAAAACCTATGTAACAAGCAAATAGGTAAGGATTGGAAGAAACATTGGCTATGTGACAAGTCCTTCGAAAAACGAAGCTTCCACCTCCATCTACGTCAATGTCAATATAAGGACTGGGTGGAACCAGAGCAGTCCGAAGATTCTGTGGGACAAAACTTGGTATTCACCACCATCCTGGAAAACATTTTGGACAAGTTGGCAGCGATGCCCATAAACGCTACCAACCTTTAACTTTATCATTCCTTAGAAACCTTTTTTTTTTCTCTCTTCTTTTCTCCTCTCTTTATAAAAAAAAAATAATAAATAATAATATAACATGTATAGTAACCAATTTAATAGTACATATATTACCCGTTTTCGTCATCCTTAATCATTCATGTTTATTCATTCTCATTGGACATATAATTCCCGAGGACGGTAATCATTCTAAGGGGGGGAGGATGTTAAGTGACAACTTTTAAAATTCACTTAATCCTGATATATGTATTAATGTAACGTAAAACTTATATGTATTAGTATTATGTATAATTGCGCCGCGCGTATTAATTGTGCACGTTAAGCACGGGTGGGCGGTTCGGCGGCCGTGTAGTAATGCGGTGACGGCGTAGTAACACTCTCGCGCGGCATGACTGTATCGCCCACGCTAACAAAGCAGTCTCGTGCCAGAGCTAATCACGAGCAGTCGTACACTCCATAATCCTTTTCAGATTTACGTACAGTTTTATTCAGTTCTTTCCATACAGTTTTGATCTCAGTTTTTGTCAATTAGTTTTTATTTATCGTTAAATTTCTAAAATCAGAATATTTATATCCTTCCTACCAGCGATTAACTTATACGCGCGACGAAGCGTACGTTCAGACTAATTTCAACACAATTACTTGTTACAAGGATAACAGTTATTACAAGGACCAGCGAAAATAAAAGGATTATATTTCTTGGACGAATATTTTGACAATATACGCATTTATATAATGTGACGGTAAACGTCAAATTAGCGCTGACTATTTAGCTTAATTGCTGCCTGTGAGGGCAGCACCTGCCGGGGGGACAAAATAGGTAACGAAGGAATTCGGCACGCGAGCAGACGGAACGCGCGCAATAGAATTTGAACCAGTGAAGCACCGACCATCATAGTGTCTACCCGCTTTTCGTTAACGTTACCGCAGATCTACGTGCCTTTGACGATTACTCGCCGAAATAGCGATATTCAACTGAGAGCCAGTGGTCCAGGACTGCAGCCGCCAAGGAGCCTTCCAGCTACCAACTCGAGGCCCAGCCGAGTGTGTGTTTGTGAGGTTTCGCCATCGAGGGCGAAACCATTGTGTGCGCGCATTCGCGACCCGCGAGCAGAACAATAAAAACAATAAAAACTGTTCCGCTCTGTGCGAGATATTTGTGTTCTCCGATCGCCGACAAATAAGGTAAGCTGGCCAGCTTAATTTCGCGATCGCGATCATACGAATAATAATTTGATGCTAACATTCGATGCGTGCATGCAACGGCTCTAATAACAAAGAGCAGCGAGCGTACCGGCAAAGCGTGTTGTCGACGAGCGAGCGTTCATGTAAACAAACGCGCGGGCCGACCTTTTGTGAATTTTGAGGAATAATAAAGGATACCATTCATATTACTAACAAGTGTTTTTCGATCCGCTTTTACCTCATAGCTTCCACTCATTTTAGTATAGGTTATTAACAATTATTGGTTGACTGACGCATACTTTCTCGTGCTCTCCCGGATAAGTAGTGAGCATTGACAATTACGCGTGCCCTTTTGAAATAATCGCGCGAATATAATAATTAAACGGTTTTACCCCGTTACAATAACTATATAATTTCAAGGACACGTCTACTAATAATAATAATAAATAAACTTTTAACAAGTAATTATCTCTAGATTCATTAGTGTAAACTTATTTTCTTCTTACCTATTTTTTTTTCTATAAAAATAATAATACTTGGAATAATTACCATTTGGCAAATTTCCACATATTCATTTCGTGTATAATTACATATATATATATATATATATATATATATATATATATATATATATATATATATATATATATATATATATATATATATATATATATATATATATATATATATATATATATGTAATATATATATATATATATATATATATATATATATATATATATATATATATATATATATATATGTGTGTGTGTAGACGTGTATGCGTTCGTTAAATTATTAATTATTTTGGCTTCGGTATTTTGCTCTCGCGACCCTTTCCATTTATTATCACAAATACCGGTCGTGCCACCGTAACGTGATCTTCTCAATTACATAGCATTAAATCCGACGCTGACGAAGTATTTAAAATTTAGGCACGTCTCCAGATAACATGATATGCATGTGTACGGGATAAATAATACGTCTACAATATTACGACAAGCTCGGTTCCAAGCCGCTAAAATTCCTGAGTAAGCTTTAATTCGAACTATATAGAGAACCTATATATATATATATTCCAGTTATTTACTATTTATTTATTATTTAATTAAAGTTATTAAGTTAGTTATTTATTATTTAATTCGAACTATATAGAGAACCTATATATATATATATATATATATATTCCAGTTATTTGATTTTTCCCATAAATATACTTATACGTAAAATATATTTAATAATTAACTAGCGAGCGTTAAATGAGCGGGGCCTCATATATACAGCAATACACCACATCGAGTTATAGTGTCGCTCGTTTGCTAAAAAGACACTAACGACGCGTGTGTTTATAAAAAAAAAACACGTAACATCAGCAAGTTGGGAAGAAAATTCGGAAATGTAATATCAGTCTTTTTCAACGTAAATCTTCCATAGGTGAAATTATTCATATTTCTTGGTTATGTTTTTCACCTGCAACTGGTTGTTTATACTGTTTTTTTACTGTAAATTATTCGATGAGTCGTTAGATAGGCAATTTTTAAGTAGCGGTTTTTTCAACTGGAAACATGCATACGAGCGATTATTGCAGCATGAAACTTCAGCATCTTATTTAAATTTTCTAGTCAAATTCAATAATCTAAAGAATCACAGTGGATGTATTGATGCGCAACTTCAAAAGCAAGTTGAATCTTCAACACAGTACTGGTATAAAGTGCTAAAAGGTTTCATACATGTAATTTTATTTTTGAGTGAACGTGGGTTAGCCTTCAGAGGTTAAAATAAAACTGTAGGATCTCCAAACAATGGCAATTTTCTGGGAATTATTGAAAAAGAACGATCCATTTTTACAAGAACATCTGAATAAATACGGAAATTGTGGAAATGGCAATGTCAATTATCTCTCTTCTACTGCGTATGAAGAATTTATAGAAGAAATAGGAAAAACAGTGCAAAGTGAAATATTAAAACATATAAAGAAAGCTAAGTTTGATTCAGTGTCATTGGATGGAACAAAAGATAGAGGTCATAATGATCAATTAACAATTATTTATAGATATGTGGAAGATGATAAACCAGTTGAACGATTTTTCAAATTTTTTTGTAATCAGAAACATAAAGCACAAGATATGCTCAATGTCTTAATAACAACACTTGAAGAAAATGATTTAGGTATTGCAAATTGTAGAAGTCAATCTTACGACAATGCTTCAGCAATGAATGGCAAATATAATGGATTACAGGCTTTAATCAGGAAGAAAAATGTTTTGGCAATCTGGGTTCCATGTTTTGGGCACTTGCTAAATCTGACTGGTGAAGGAGCTTCAATAGCATCAAAAGCTTCCACCTCTTTTTTCATGTTCTTAGAAGGCTTATTTGTATACTTTGTAGCATCGGACATTCGATGGGGATTGCATGAAAAAATAAAAAAACCTGAATTCGCTGATAAGGGAAGAGTAAGAGTTCCTAAAAGGATCGAATGCACGCGTTGGTCTATTCGCGGAGAAGCCTGTGATGCATTTATTAGGAGCTATATACCAATATTAGAAACTCTATCTATCATAAAAGATGACAGAGATAATGTCTACGGAAGTAAAGCACAATGTGAAGCTGACGGACTTCTCACAAAAATGTGTCTTCTTGAAACCGGCATCATGGCTTCTTTCTGGAATGATGTTTTGATAATTTTAAATAATACAAGTAACACGATACAAAGTCCTAAGATACTTATAAATACAGCTACATCGTGCGTCAGGTCATTGCGAAATATTGTAGCAGAAAAAATATCTTCTTTTGCTTATTATGAAAATTTAGGTAAGGAATTAACCAACGTTTCAGAATACAAACAAAATCGTGGCCATCGTAGGAATGCAAGATTGAATTCTTTAGACTATGCTAAAACACTGGAAGTTTCTCCTGAACCATCTGAGTTATTTCGTACAGCTGAATTTATTCCACTAATTGATACTTTCGTAAGTGCTCTAGAAATGCAAATCTCTGCCTATACAGAAATGGAATTGCGATTTGGTTTTTTATCAAATTTTCATCAAATTAGCAGATTGCAAATATCAATATGTGCAAAAAGATTACTTGATATCTACAAAGACGATCTAGAGTCTAATCTTGAGATGGAGCTTTTACAATTCCAAGAGTTTTGTTCTGATTTGTTAGAATTTGATCCAGAAAAGTCATCTAGAGAACAAGCCATGTATACTTTGATAATTCACAAAGAAGTTCATGAGTCGTTTCCCAATGTTGAAATACATTTGCGCATGTATTTAACCATAATGATTAGTAATTGTACTGGAGAAAGATCATTCTCAAAATTAGATTTGATAAAAGATGTGCTAAGAACATCTATGACGCAAAGACGTTTGAACTATTTGACTGTTATGTGCACAGAACGTTATATAGTTCGTCAAATAGATATTGACACGCTTATTAGAATTTTTGCAAAGAAGAAAGCACGAAAAGTTTATATTTAAACGTATGGCAGTAAGCGTAAAATATGTCAATGAAATAAAATTTCTTGAATATTCACTATAAATGAAATAATTTTAATTTTTTAATCCCTTGCATGAGCCCCCACATCATTCGTGCTCATAGCCCTTGGAAAGTTAAATCCGGCGCTGGAAATATTATTTATAGAGAAATTTTCGAACGCTGAAATACGTAGAAATATTACTCGCGAAATAGAATTTGGCTAATATTTTAATGGTAAATTGACTCATTATAATTATGCAATACGTAAAATTAATTTAGCATTTGATAGAAATGAAAATTTAGATTAAGAAGAATTAATAGATAGATTATCTCGGCATTTTGATAGAGATGTACGTTTATTATTTTAAGCTAGACATATAAAGGAAATATCAGAATTTATTAAGATTTTATCTTCTTTAGATAATGATGATTATATTAGTTCACGTCATAACACATGGATCAATAAGTCCCGAGACTAACCCAAAGATGGCGCTCGTAGTAAACCAGTAACCACGTCTTTCTAGAGTACTAACCTTTGCTTGAAATGTGTCAAAATTTTAAGTCGATCGGACCAAAAACAGCTGAGTTATCGAGGTTGGAGTAAAGTCGTTTTGTAGTTTGTTTAAAAAATGGAAAAAACCGAGTTTCGTGTTCTCATAAAATATTGTTTTTTAATGGGTAAAAACACCGTGCTAGCGAAACAATGGATTGAAAAATGTTACCCGGACTCTAGTCCATCAAAAGCAACGATGTATCGGTGGTTTACCGAGTTTAAACGTGGTCGTACCGACACAAATGTCGCGGAACGCTCGGGTAGACCTGTGGAAGCCGTTACACCGGAAAATGTGAGTAAAGTGACAAAAATTATAATGAAAGATCGTAAAGTGAAGCTCCGTGAGATTGCTGAGATGACACAGATATCATATGGAAGTATATTTACTATCCTTCATGAAAAATTGAGCATGAAAAAGGTTTTTTGCAAGTGAGTGCCGCGATTGCTTTCGATGGAACAAAAACAGCAACGAGTCGATGATTCAGAAAGCTGTTTATCCCTATTTACTCGCAACAAAAAAGATTTCTTGTGTCGTTACGTGACCATGGACGAAACATGGATACATCACTACACTCCAGAGTCGAAGCGGCAGTCATCTGAGTGGCGCACAGTTGGCGAAAGCCGTCCGAAACGTCCGAAAACGCAGCAGTCAGCTGGCAAAGTCATGGCGTCAGTTTTTTGGGATACGCATGGCGTGATTTTCATTGACTACCTTGAAAAAGGTAAATCGATCAACAGTGATTATTATATTGACTTACTGGTGCGTTTGAAGGAGGAAATCGCAAAAAAACGACCGCACATGAAGAGAAAAAAAATCCTTTTTCACCAAGACAAAGCACCCTGACACAAGTCGATGAAAACAATGGCAAAATTGAACGAATTGGGCTTTGATCTGCTTCCCCACCTCCCATACTCGCCAGATTTAGCCCTCAGTGATTACTGGCTCTTTGCTGTTCTTATAAAAATGCTCCAGGGAAAAAGATTTGGCTCAAATGAGGAGGTCATCGCTGAAACTGAAGCTTATTTTGAAGCGAAAGATAAATTTTTTTATAAACATGGTATTGAAAAATTGGAAAAGCGTTGGAACCATTGTATCACCCTAAAAGGTGATTATGTTGATGAATAAAAAAAAATTTTGCAAAAAAAATGTTGTTTTCATTGTTGGTTTCGAGACTTATTGATCCATGTGTTACTTAAAAAGGTAGCGGCATAGAACAACAAATTAATAGTATAATCCAATCTAATCTCAATATTTCCAGCGCTCTCCTAATTCTCGCGGCGCTAGCCGCGATTTCCGCGTTCTCCTTTGCTCCTCTTCCTCTCTCCGTCAGCATCCGAATGCTGACGGAGGCTGCGAGATTGGTGGCGAACTGGGCCCGGGATTCGGATCTGCGCCTGAACGCGGGCAAGACCAAAGCTATCATGTTTGGAACTAACAAACATGTCAATGACATTTACGCTGAGGTCTTGCCTGGTGTTGAGGTGCAAGAGGGAGTATTTGTTCCCTTTAGTAATGAAGTGACCAGTCTCGGGGTCGTTCTCGATAGCAAGCTGTCGTGGAGATCGCACATTGACCGGGTCGCGGCGAAGGTTTGGAGAGCTCTGTACGGCCTGCGTTTTGTTAGGCCGTGTACTACGGAGCTGCTCCGGCGCAGACTGGTGGAGTCGATGGTCCAGCCTCACCTGGACTACTGCACCGTGGTGTGTCTGGGGGTCTCGGCGGAGCAGAGGGAGCGGCTGCAGAGACTGAGCAACGCGTGCGTAAGATACATCTATGGTATCCCGCGTGATGTCTCGGTCTCTCCATATAGGTCGCGGTTGGGTTGGCTTCGCGTGGACGTACGCAGGGAATATTTCATGTCCCTGCTAATGTACAGGTGCTTGACCATGCGCGAGCCTGGCTACCTGGCTGAGCTCTTCATAGGGCACAAGTCAAGGTATCCGGGTAGGGCGGGGCAGGCTGAGCTTAGAGTTGCTAAGGTTAGAACGGAGACGGCTCGCAGGTCTTTCCAGGTGATGGGTGCCCATCTCTGGAACACTCTTCCATCTGACTTGCGGCACGCGCCGTCGCTTAGCAGCTTTAAGAGGGGGGCGCGCGGATACTTTGCGTCATTGAGGGCGTAGGGTGGTACCACTGCAGTATTCTTATTTCTATCAGTTTACTGTATAAATGTTTGTACAGTTATTTATTTACGTGTTTGTAGTGAATTATATTTGTTTATTTATTTTTTGTGCTGTTTTGTGTCTGTATGACGAAAACTAGCCTAAACTTTTGACTGCATTACTAGTTATAAGCAAGCTAGACTGTAGTGATAAGAATTATTGTTTCCTCTGGAATATCGAACTGTGAACTAGTCAAATCCTAGTCTATTTATTTTAACGTAATAACTACAATCATAATTTTATTTATTGACTGAGGAACTAAAATTGTAATCGAACTGTGATGAAATGTGATGCCGGTACGGCATAATGTAAACTAAAGCTGTGACAATTACTGTATATATTTATATATTATTGTATTTTATGTTTTGCCATCACGGTGAATAAATTCTTATCTATCTATCTATCTATCTATCTCTCGCTCTCTCTCACTCTCTTCGCACTCTCGCTCCTTCTCGCGTTCTTCTCCGCTAGCCACGCTCTCCTCTCGCCAGGCCCTGCAACGACACGAGCGCGTGAATGCTATGTCACTGTAAGGGTTGAGGATTGAGCAGGAACCACAGTTTTTTTTTTTTTTTTTTTTTTTTATTTACAATGAAATTAACACAACACTAGAACCAAAGTTTATTTATAGTTCGCAATAAAACTTAAAGATACCGCACCAGAGAATCAAAATGTCACAAGGTTGAATTTTAATACATTGTGATTGAACCACGATTGAAGAAAAAAGAAGAGAGAGCCGGCGGAGGCACGCTGCACTCCCTTTTAAATACATTCGTTGCTATGGAAATAACATTCGTTGTTATGTATAAAACAATTTATCGTGCATTTACGCTGTCAATTTTTAATAAACAAATGCGCATGTATTCACGACACTAATCGTTCTTCAAATTTAATCAATAAAATTTTCATGGTTCCGTTTTTATCGCATATTGCCCTTCTTTTAATTTTTTCATAATCTTGATTTCTCTCTTTTTCGTAAATTTCCCGCAATTTTGGGCCTTTTCGTATCACGCCTTCTCGACTCGCCCTCACGACCTTATCTCTCTCTCCGTTCTCCCCTCTCCTCTTGCCTGCACCCCCGCTCGCCAGCCTACCGGACCGAAGGTTGATTTAGCCAGGTTTTCCTCGCTAGCCTCCCTTACCCGTTGAATTTGCTCACGATACGAGGGCTTATCCCTCGTAAGGCCTGCAGCCTCCGAGAGCATTTCTCGGAGCTGATATGACGGCTTCACGGCGACGTTTCTGCGGAATGCGCAAACGTCCACGTCTATGGGTCGAGCTAGTGCTGAGCAAGTGGATAGTGAATCATTTCGAGAAGACAGGCGTGAATAGGCGTATCGTTACAAATTTTTGATCGTAGTCGCTACATTTTTCTTTTCTTTTCGCGTACAAATTTTTACGAGCGTATTACAAATATGAAGATGAAGCTATGCCAAGTGTTTAGGCCCAGGGATGGTTCCTGGTGCATGTTTCACGCGCGTTTTTTTTTTTTTTTTTAAATAGTGTAGTGTGCGCCGCTTACGTTTTTAACAATCTCCCCCCAGTCTAAGAATTATTTGAAATTTTAGACTCCCTGTAAAGGACTAAATATTTTTACTAATTTGTTGACAGGTCGAACGAAATCTTTCTTTCCGGCGCGCACTTTCACGATTCTAACTACTTGATCGGAGGTGTTTCGGTAGATTTCCACAACCTTTCCTTTTTTCCAAGTGTTTCGCGGCGCTTGATAGTCTGTGATCAAGACAATGTCGCCAACTTTTAACGCTGGAACTGAAGTATTCCATTTTTGGCGCGGAAGTAAAGTGGGCAGATACTCGCGCAGCCATCTTTTCCAAAAACCGTTCGCGAGATGTTGCGCGATTTCGTAGGTTTTACGCGGATTTAAAGTTTCTGCTTCATATCTGTCTATTTGCACGTGTCCGGATGACGAGCCGAAAAGAAAATGATTAGGCGTTAGCGCCTCCTCATCCTGCGGGTCTACTGACACATGTGTCATAGGACGCGAGTTAACCATATGCTCTATTTCTATGAGGAGAGTCACGAGTACTTCTTCCGACGGCGCCTGCTCGTTAAGCGCGTGTTTTAGGGCAACTTTTACCGATCTAATGAGGCGTTCCCACGCTCCCCCCATGTGAGGAGCATCAGGCGGATTGAAGTGCCATTTAATTTGGCGCGATTCCGCAAACTGTTTTTGCTTCCGTATGTCTAAGCTTTTAATTTCCTCCGCTAATTCTTTATTTGCCCTTACGAAATTGGTGCCATTATCGCTATAGATTTCCCGCGGGC